GGGTCTCTACCCCATAACGCCATTTAATTATGATTTCTCTTGTTAACTGGCTTTCCTCTAAAATTAAACAAACTTGTGTGGGTAAATGTTTTTTTTTAATCAGTCACATTTCAACTCGACAACAGAATGAAATTTAATTTCTGACCGTTGACGAAAAAAGATGACAATCATAAGATAAATATCCAGTTTTAAAAACTTTTGGCTTTTGCTTAGAAGTTTCATGCCAACACCCTATATACACAAGGCCCTTTAATATCTCCTAGGGAGGGTGTCCGTTACTTCCATAAAATCAAGGACAAAGCTCAATATTGAAGTAAAGGTCAAAGGCAAATAACATGTGAAAAAAACACTTCTACAAATCGATATTGTGTCTACTTGATAACAAACAAATCCATGTGGTTTTGCAATTCAGCACGCCCTGGTCTCCGAGGATCAAAATGGGGGGGGGGGGGTGCTCTGCCAAAATATTTTGCTGTATCGACTTTTTATTAAAATAACATATTAAAGATGAGTCCTATTCTTTACGGCCTGAGTAATTTATTCTCTCTCTCTCTCTCTTTCTCTATCTCTTCACACATATAACGTGTGATACACCTTCCAAGAGCTTTCGTTCTGTCTACCTCTAAGCAGGAATTTGCCGCATCCATCCATACGGTTGTCATTAAAGTCGTGAACTCTTTCCAGGTAACGTCTTTATCAGTGCTCACCCAACTGTAGTTCTCACTTTTCCATGCGCCCACTCGGGCATATTATATGTGAAGATTTACCGACTACCCAAAATTGTCCGCTTGTTCTATCTAAACCTAGACAGTGATATTTTTGATTACACTTTTCTGGACAACATATCATCATGCCTCTGTCGTGGATTTTTAGACGCCACCAAAGGCTGAAGGAAGAGATGAAAGAGGAACACGAAGAGATTCCTAAGCCGTTTGTATGGGACGAGAGCTTCAGGGTCTACGTAAGTACGTATGCTGCTTCGCTATGATTCGAATGAAAAGTAAAAAGAAACAAATAAAAAAGAAACTTAAAGGCCCTGCTTTTACCACTATTAATGAATATATCTCTTGAGTGGGCTATGTACATATTGTATTGATCGAAATAATATTTAACAAATAAATAAATATAAACGACACTATCATCGCCACTTCATGAATGCATTTATTTGGTGGACGGCATATTGTAGAAGTTAACTTATTCTTTATATGTTTTTTATTTTTATTTGCTGCATTTTATTTATTTATTTATTTATTTATTTATTTATTTATTTATTTATTATTATATTTTTTACAGTATGACAATCTGGACGAAGACCACAGAAAACTTTTTCAAGGGATATTTAACTGTGCCAAGAATCCGGGCAGTGCTCAAGTCCTCCTAGACACCATACATGTGTACAGAGACCATTTCGTCAGTGAGGAGGTAATGGGAATCACTTCGCTATTTTTGTTAATATTATTTTATCGTATTTCAATTTATGTAATATATGATAGATATGTCAATCTGATAATTGTTAGTTGTTGAAGGGATAAATCAAGAGTTAAGTAAAGCTAAATTTATGACAGATTTCAACGTTGAAAACTTAATTTGATAGAATATTTGATACAGTAATGTTGAATTCATGTTTAAACTTGCCTTGTAAATAATGTGTTGATTCAAAGAGTTTGAAACAAACTTTATTTAATAGCTAAGAGAGATACATATAAACTCACTGCGACAGAAACAGCTAGAAATCTTCGGTATTTATGTGAAATCTCACTGCGTTTTTTTTTTTTTTTCTACAGAGAATGATGAAGGAAGCGGGGTTCAGTGGCCACGACTCCCACAAGAGCCTCCACACCAAGTTCCTAGCCGAGATGATCTCCTTTCAACTCCCGCTGGATGCGGAGACGCTGGAGTATTGTAAAGACTGGTAAGTCTTATATAGATCCATTGATCTGTTCATTAATACAGTTATCTGGTTATTTCTGGTACTAGAACATTTACCTAGATACGAGCTAGGAAGCGCATTAAATAAAATATATTTTAAGCCTACTTCGGGGTAAAATTCTTTATCAAAGTCATCTCTATAAAGTTTTTTTTATTTCTGTTTAAAGTAAAATTAACCCAAGTTTTATAAATACATATGAATAAATCTCCAAAACACCAGTTAAACGGACAGAAATAACAAACCACATCCTTATTTTATTTCCAAAATAATTCTCAAATGATAAAGCATGGATTCAGTCCGAGTTGAATCCCCCTTCTTTTGTAAATCTTCTGAATGATATATCACCCCCCCCCCCCCCCCAAGTCGAGTTTGCAACTATTATTGCATGACCTGTCAGTCAACTGAAACTATGCCTTTTCCAAGTCACAGGTCAGTGAAAAACACAGGCATAATAATATAATACAGAGAGCAGCTTTCAGAGACCTCAGACAGTAACTCAGGATATTGACCGACCTCTAGGTCTCTCAAACTGCATCAAAAATAGCAATCATTTTTATAAAAGACCTGATCCCTTGCTGCAACTGGTATATTGTTATTTTTTCGGGTTTCTTTTTTTATTTCAGGCTGGTTCACCATATCAAGAGTGTGGACTTCAATTATAAAGGAAAACTTCAATGGAAGTCAGAAAAATAGCCAACTAGGATTCATGTTTAATATAATAAAATCTGATATATTTTTAAGACGCCAACAAGTTTTGATTACATTTAAACAAAACATGTACTGAGATAAATTTTAATGAACCCTCTACCATCCAGAGTTTTGAATATAACTGTGCTAAAGTTTCAAACAGAGCAACAGATCTTTAAATTCAAGGAAAATACAAGAAGATAAATAAACGTTTAAGACATCGATTTATCGTTACACAGCATTAATTTATTGATAATGAACCAAAAACAAAGTCGGTTGATTCTTGCTCGAAAGGGCATAAGCTGACCGTTTAAAACCATAATTACAATTTGCTGTTTCTGGATTTTAGAATTTCAGCTTGACAAGTAAAATCTTTTACATCATTTACAGAGCTTTGCCTTGTTGTTCTGAAGGTAGCTGAAGGCTGTGGAAAACCCTTACTGAGATAAGAAAAACCGATAACACTATATTATCAACTGAGATAAGAAATACTGACAACATTAAATAATCAACCGATAAAAAACTGACAACATGAAATCAACTGAGATGACAATATAATGGGCATGAGGTTCTGTTATTATGACGATATGATTGGCATGAAGTGCTGTTGTCATGACAATATGAACAGCATGAAATAGTGTTGTCATGACAATGTCTGGTATGAAGTACTGTTATCATGACAATATGACCAGCATGAGTTACTGTTGTCATGATGAAAATTAGCATGAAGTAGCGTTGCCATGATGATATGACTGCCATGAAGTACTGTTGTCACAACAACATGAACCGCCTTAAGTAGTGTTGTCATGACGATGTCTGGCATGACATAATGTTGTCATGACGATATGACTGGCATGAGGTACTGTTGTCACAACAAGATGACCAGCATGAAGCACTGTTGTCATGACGATGTCTGTTGTCATGACGATATGACCGGCATGAAGTACTGCAGGGACACGTCATCATGCAGGAGGAAGAAATGTACCACCCTGTTGTCCAGTATATCTGGAAAAAAAAAACAAGTAAATACTTCAATAATTTCCCTACACTTCTTTTATCAAGAAAGCCTGCATATGTCAGTTCAGAAACAAATAAACCTGGACCAATTTCCAGTGACAACAGTGTTTCTAAAGTTTTTAAAACGAACACATAAAAAATACATGCAAATGGCAGAAATTGCAACAGAAACTATGTGAAAGAAACAACCATGTTGCCCAAGAGATAAAAATTAAACGTACTGCATATCACCCTTTCTGGGTTCACTTGCTGCCCTGATAAAAACTGGGAAAACTTCCTGATGTCTATCCTGGCCTCTGCAAACTTCTCAGGGTCTCTGTCCTTCGGCTGGCTGTTGGCTGCAGCTGGCATGTTTTCTTTAGCTAAAATCAGATGAATGATAAAACTTTAATAATTGTTTAAACATCTTAGTGTTATTGCTGAGAGTGCTGACATTACATTACTCAAACTTATCACACCTTTTGCATCAAAATTGCATATTTTAAAGTACTGATAAAAAATTGTGCATACAACAGAAATCTTTTAAATTTCATCTCTTATCATCTTGCACATGTTGAATTTAAAACACAGTCAAAATTACAAATGTTAGTTTTTGGCAATCAATACTTATAGCTGAAGTTTTTTTTAAAATAACACTGACTCACTCCCTATATTCCAACAAACACTATATCAAAAAGTTGAAATAAATCAATGATGTACATGGTGAAAAATATGCATAACTTTATTCCAAGCCTAATGAGAATATGCTCAATACTTGACTCAAGTTTAAGAAAGTGTCAGCTCAACATCAGCAAAACAACTATTTGACAGTTGTTCGTAACATCATCTTCCTTCATTGCTGATGGAATGGAAGCAGCAAAACTCAGATCAAAGTAATTTTTTCTCTCTCATCAGTCCTAGTATCAAAATAGGTTTAGTTATTCCAAACTTACACCACTGTGGGTTAGACAAGTCCCCAAAATGTGTAGAAACAGACGCCATGTCTGTCTCAACTTTCAGCACCATTTCTCCACTTCCATTGGCAGCAATTGTCTATAATACAATACATTAAGTTAAATATAATAATACATATGAGGAACTCAGGAGTTATCTGTATGTAATTTTCTTTATTTTTTTGTAAGAGGATGAAATTGAAATTTTTGTGAATAAATTACTATATTTACAATTTCAAAATTACATATTTTTGGAAGCCAACTGTACTTATATCAAAAAGACACCAGATTATAGGGTCAGGCGTTAATAAACTGATCATTTTACCTAAAACTTCCTGTACTGCTATAAAATTTATCAACTGTATCATTTATAATAATTAAATAATACACATAATAATACAAATAGATGTTATAATTCAGTGATAATGACCAGAAAGTAGTGTGCTAAATCTCACCACATAATTATTCAAATTTTTCATTTTGTCTGTCACATTTCTCAGCACCTTTAGGGACGGCATGTAAATACTGACCTGAAATGGTATATCAGAGATGTGATTAATAGCATTCAAAGGGTTAAAACAATAAAAATGACAAAAACAAGGTTTAAAAGGACAATACCATACTATGCATTATTAACTTCTTAAGCATTGGATATTTGAATAAGATCTAGTGTTATAACTCACAGACTGTGAGCCAGCTTCACCTCCATTAAACATGCTCCAGATCAAAATTCCCCCAATAATATATCACATGCTCAAGATCCCCATTCCCCAAAATCTTAGTGAAGCCAGAAAGAATTTTTTTTAAATAAATATTTTCTAAGCTAACTCTCTATAACTATGTAACCCAGAGACACTGTCTTACAAGGACTGAATGGAGGATGTCCCTAAACAGAATATACTAAATACGCTGATGGGAATTATTTTCATTAGTAATCAGATCAAACACTTCATTTCTCCCCTAACTGCTCACATCAAAGTCTGGCATCTCTGGTTCTTCAAACTCGTCCCAAAGTCTCCTTGGTATTACATTAACTGGCACATCGTGAGTGACCACACGGGAATGACCAGTCAGTGAGGGCTGTGAAAAGATGAACAGGGGAATTAAAAATTTCAGTATCTTATTTAGCACTGACGTCTAAGGCTCTATTCCCATAGGTTTTAGATCGATCTATCCCCGCGGGGAGTCTCACTAGATTACTTTCAGATAATCATGACTTAAATGTCCGTCCCGCCTACTACAAGCTGTAAGGAGGTAATTAACTTTCGTGTCCGCCCGGCTGACAGCTATTTAGCGTGAACCCCTAGGGAGTTAGGTCGATCTAAAGTAGATCGATCTAATATATGGAAATGGGGTCTAAGCCAAGGCGCATTCAGAATGAGTTAGATCACAAGTAACTGCAAGTAAAAATCCACAAGGACTCTTGCTGAATGCAATCAGATTAACAGACTAACACGCCTCCTCCTGGCATTGAGCAAAATACAGAGAAGCTAATGATTATACTAATTAATGCGTTGGTTGGCAATAACAGGAGCTGGAAACAGCAGGAGGCATGAGAGTCAGCAAGTCCCTGTGGAACTAGTGCCCACTAGCCACTGTGACCTACAAATTCTGAAGTCTCAATGACAGAATCAATCCAAGTGTAGATGCCATAGTTATGCGTACTGCTTCTGTGTTAAGTTTTTTCATGACATAGGAATGTAGATGGGAAACATTGTGTGTCAGTGAGGTTTACTTACAAGTTCCACTTCAAAAGTTAAACAAGGACTGTGTTTCTTTGTCAGTTTGATCTTGACGGACTTTGCTGTCTGAGCAGTCTTCAGGCACTTCACCATATTGTCTGGGACGACCTCGAGGAAGATCTCGTTATAGTCCTCTGACAGCCCATCCATAGCATACTCACTGAAGAAATTAGTCTGGAAATAGAAAACAGATTCCAAGGTAATGTTATTTGATTTGCTTCACATATCATGTCCCAAAATAAAATGGCAAAGCATTTTATCTCTTGGTTTTCTACTGAATACTAAAATAACTTACTGATAGTCCAATAATCTTTGATGTGGTATACATGTAAAGCTGTTAAGTGTTTGAGGCTATTATTTCATTACAGTACATAGTGCACATCCCCTTTCAAGAAGATAACAGTTCTTATATAAGACAAAACAATAAATAAAAACAACAAGTGAAAACAGTAATACAAGGTTTATATTGATTAAAATAAGTTATGTGATTATTTTTACTTTGCGTTTCAGAAAACATAATTTCCAGAGAGAAGATATAATTCTCAGAGAGATACTTTCTGATGGCCTCTCTATCTCACCTGTGACAGCTCACACCATATGTTGACCCCTCCGTTAACCAACCTCTCAGATAAAATAAAGTAGATCTTGGAGGCGGTTATTCTTACAGTACAGTTCTTGGCAAGTTTGGCTACCATGCTGATCACTCCTGATAAGACGGATTTTGAGATGATAAANGATAAAATTATCCGGGGGGCACAGTTATTCCGCTAGGCACTGTTATTAAATATCGGGAATTTTTCCAGGGGGCACAGTTATTCCGCTAGGCACTGTTATTAATTTTGGAAAGTTTTCCGGGGGGGCACTGTTATTCCGGTAGGCACTCTTATTCGGCACTTCAGAGTAATGTACATCATTTCTTTTGCACGTTATTACTCGATGTTACTATTATTATTATTATCATTACCTGAGTGACTTAGGGTGTATTTCCAGAGATTCAGATCGATCCAGGGATTAAAATTTAGATTGACCTAACTCCCTGGGGGTTCACGCTAAATTGCAGTCAGCCGAGCGGGCACCATAGTTAATTACCCCCTTACAGCTTTTAGTAGGCGGGACAGACGCTTAAGCTGGCCAAGCTGACAGTAATCTAGTGGGACTCCCCACAGGGATAGATCGATCTAAAAATCTATGGAAATGGTGCTACACAGGGGAACTGGTGTGTGGTTTTATTACAGTGAATTACTTACGTGTGAAGTGCTGGATGCATCCAACATCTACAATCTTTCCTCTGAAGCGCATTTTCTAAGTTTTATTGGACTGCAAGAATTAACTTTTGAAATAAAACCAGAATGAAACGCATTCATGTGTTGTACGCTTTCCGCTTGCCTCACTTCACGAAACTCCCGCCATATTGTACAAGTTCTCGTGAGATTTTGAAATATAAATTGGACCGTTTTGGGATGTTAATTGCCTGAACTGGGAGTCAGTTGCCTCATCTCATGTTCCAAAAGTTTTAATACTTTTAACAGGTTTTAATTTGACAAACAAAACAAGCACATTAAACCTAAAAACTCATGTTAAGCGTGACCTATATTTGTAATTTTGCCTCAAGAAACTGTACGAAAATTTGACCCACTTCTTGGCTGTACGTCCCCGTGGCCTAATGGATAAGGCATCGGCCTCCGGAGCCGGGGATTGTGGGTTCGAGTCCCACCGGGGACGGAATAAATTTTTCATTCATAAATGTGTCCAGAATTGCAATTAAATTGAATTTGTTCCTTTATTAAATGTATATATTTATCCTGCGCCCCCACGCTGTGCGCCCCGGTACTTTTCTACAAAAGACATCCCTAAAATGCCCTATCCTATTATTCCTACCTTAAACCCTTGTTAGAAAGATTTTTAAACTAATAATTGGAGAAAGTAGTAAGGTCACATATGAGAAGTTGGGAGTAATTAGACCTCAATTATGAATGAGAACAATGAATCTGAACAAGATCGCTTTGAATAATAACATTTTATCTCTTGAAACATTTATTAAGAGATAAATCTCCTTTATTTGATGTTCTAACAAATGATATTAATGTCACTCTATGACAATATCTCTTCCGAGCTCAGAAAGTTTGGGAAGCTATAAATACGTGGTTATAGAGACCTATAATGTATTTGCACCCTCATCTCATAAATATTCACATATTGGCTAACAAAGGAATGTTAGTAACTCATCAATCACTCAAAAACTACTTGCTGGGTAATAATCCACCAGCATCTCGAGTTTTTCTTCTAAACTTAACCATATCTCCTACCAGTTTTCACACACACAGCATTATAGTATAAAATTTAATACAGATCCATTAAATGTAAAAATATTTCTTCTAAAGTTTACATGGGGGAAAAGTTGCTTAACTGTTCCAAGAGGGAGACTGTAAAAGCAATAAATGGTAATCTTTCCATAAAATTCACCAGGACTACAGACATTATTTGCAGCCAAGTTTGATAAAACATCAAGATTTTCTCATCTCATGCTGTTAAAATGCTTTGCACAACTACATTTGTTATTTTTTTTCAAATTTCTTTGCCTTTTCATCAATAGCAAATACTTTGTAACTTTAAGTTTAACTTCTGTTTTCTTCTTAACCAAACAGTCACACTGCAAATAGTTTGAATTCCACCCATTGCCATACATCCAGTAAATATCTTCTTCTGTGCAGCATTATAAGTGTAAACAATTCACAAACCAAGGTCGTACACAGTATTCCCAATTTGCTGTAAGCTGACAAGCTTGGTTTGCTGCTCGTCTAAACAGGATTCTGTAGGATAACCATTTTGACAGTAGACTGGAGGAGATATTCTTTTAGGTTATGCTTAAGAGGATGAGGTTAAGCGCATTGTCATTTTATTTTTCTTAAGATCAGTTTGTGAACTATTGTACTAGAGTCTCTTCTAGCCAGCCATTACCATTTTCACAAATTCTGAAAGTAAAAGATAAAACTATGAGGTTTATGTGTAATCCCAGAAATAAATGTAATGTCATTAAGGTATGGTAATGAAAATCCATTATTTTGAAATTCAACAGTTTTTGTTGCATGTACATAGATTGGCCTGATCTTAAATAAAACTGAACTCCAATGATTTATTACTAAGAAAGTAATTAATAACTTAGTCTGCTGGTCAGGATATAGATTCTGAATGTTTCAGTCATGTAACTGCATTGCAAATCAAGTTAAAGAATTCTGACAACACACATACCTTCATAGTTAACATTTCCTTGTGAGTCCTCCATGTTCTGCAGCAGTTGCTCCACTTCCTCATCACTTAATTTCTCACCTGAAAATCAATAGCGACCAATAAATACCACCAATGATTCATGATGCACAATGTGTAACAACAGCTTGATGAGCAAAAATACACTGATTTTTTAAATATTTGTCATGTTCGTCATGTCGGTAATAACAACTCCACTTTAACTCCATATTAAGTGACAAGAATTTTCCATATATATATATTTTATACTGACCACATGGAAGTGTTCTTTTATCATATTTTTTCAGACTTTAAACTTGGTGCCTTGTGGTTGTGCTTGCTGTGACAATAATTAAACAGTGGTAACAATATCCCATTTAGACGTCAGCTACATTTATAGTGGGACAATTATTAAAGAAACATTTTTAGAACTGTATTGCAGAGTCAATTTCAAGAAGTAAGCGATCAGATTTTAAGGTCTAGGAAACCTCCCCAGAAATTAAAATTTTGTAAAACGGACCCCTGTTGTGCCTTTAAATCTCTCTTCATTTGACACAAGACTTGCATAAAAACTTCTAGACAAGCACACATACCTAGTGAAGACAAAAGATGTCTAAGTTCAGCTGATCCAATAAAGCCGTTCTGGTCCTTGTCAAATACTTTGAACCCCTCTATGAAGTCCTCTGCTGTGGTTGTGTCCTGGTTTTTCATGACAGTTTGTAGAATGGGGATGAACTGCTCAAAACTGACCCTCTGGTCTGGAATATGTAAAGTATTTATATTTTCATGAACTCATGACTTTAACTGATTTTCATGACAGTTTATAGAATCAGGATAGTCTGGTCTGCAACAGGCAATGTGAAAACATTTCATTATTTGTTGCTCATTTTCAAAAGTTAAGTGGTTCAATCATTCTACTTTGGATGGCCAAAACTACTAGTAAGTGGTCATTTTATTCTAGTTATAATATGTAATTTGACAACTTAAAATTTTGGAAATAAGCTTTCTGGACACTAAAAATAGGTCATTTGTTGAAGTGCCTTAATAGCCATTACCTCCATGATATCTATTACTCAGTTAAATTTTTAGTTATCGGAGGGGTAAATAATGGGGTCACTTAGACTTGAATATGAAATCAAACCTTTAAACAAGTGTCAATTTCTCACCAAAAAAGGGAAAAAAATCAACTAATCTTAAATTTCCCTTTTAATTCGGATTCAGCATTTTGCCAAAATGGTTTACAATGAGGTAAGCCAAAGGTAATTAAAGTAAAAGAAACCGATTATCAAAAAGACTTCCAACCTGGATCCTCTTGGAAGACGCACTTCTTGACGTCGGCCTCAGTTGGGTTCTGTCCCATGGCGCGGAGGACATTGCCGATTTCTCCAGCGTAGATCTTCCCATCTCCCCTGTTGTCAAACAGGTTGAACGTCTCCTGCAGATCTGAAAGATGAAATACTGAAATTATACGAAGTCTGACTATGTTGGACAACAGACATCATCCAGGAAATGCATGGTGTTTTCAAAAAATATAAACTGCTGTGTTTGAAAACAAAAAAGTGATACCCTTTCCAGGTACACTTAATCATGAAATTTCCTGTAGTCAAAGAGCAAGGTATATTAACCTAGTGATGATACCTGTTTGTACCTTCTTAATGTGTGTGAGAGGTATGACACAAACAACCCCAAAATTGTGCTTATTCTAAACAACACACATGGACCACTTTTTCTTCTAAAATCTTTTATCTCCACAAAGTCCATATGCAGGTTTAAACCATGATTGCTATGGAGAGGATTATCATCTTTGAGTAAATCATATTATATATTCTAATACCCTAGAGTGGATTGTGGTACTGCAAATATACCAGAAAGCATGGGAGTCGTGTAACATAAACAAGGTGCCATTACAGCAAGTCAAAAGGTCAAGAACACAAATACCAGCCCATAAAATTCTGAATGCAATCAAAATTTCTAAAGGGGGTCACTTGAATATGAGCTGAAGAGAAAGGTATGGGTGTATGAAGCTTGTTTTAACAACCTAGTAATGACTACAATGAGGTCTTTGGAAATGGTACATAAAATTATCATCCGGCAACCACTTATGTAGTAATTCCACTATAAAAATTCTACACAGGTTAGTGAAAGGCTCCTCTCTCTTTTGCCATATTCTTTAGACCAAGGTAAATTGTGGAAGGTATTTACAGAAAATCTTGTAAACAAGTGTAAGCCTGTTGTATGTTTGTAAATGCTGATAAATCGAAATCAGCCATGGATATGAAATTAAAAAGAACAGATGTACGCAAAATGTAAATTTCCATATAAATATGGTATTGTATGTGGGCCCTTGTATGTTAGCTTGGCACCATCAGCATTAATTTCTTCTGTCAGTCTTCCATATTGACTTTATAAAGTACAAACCAGAATGAGAGTGGTTTTCACTAAGCCCTAAAAGCTCAAGCCTGTTTTAAATGGACTCCATACTTCAGGTAAGCAGCACAAGGTGCACTCAAATTTCTTCAATTTCCATAAGTCAATAGCCCTCAAGATCCAAAACAGTTAACTTGTTTGTAATCACATAATTAATACTTAGGGTTAAAACAGGTCTTTTTTCTTCTCCTGCACAAACTTGTGATTCATGTCTCAACAATGCCTTGTCTTAGTATTGTGGCGTACACATCTATATTTATAGCACAAGCTGTTACATGAATCATGCCATAACTGTGGTTTTAATGACTGCACTGCTCAGTGGTGAGGTATTAAGATAAGAATTGGTATGCTGCTCTACCCATGCCTTTGTATACAAGTATAAGTTATAAGTGCTATCACGAGGCAGGTGGTTTGGGAGATTTGGGGGGGGGGGGGGAGAGAAGGATATAAATAAATTCTTCATTGGTATACGTATGACCTGGTTGCTGTCATTTTTTCCCTGTTTTTTTTTTTTAATAAATCTAAGTTATCTTTTAATTAAATACATGCTATCATCAAAATTATTCTTCTTATCAATGGCCTCTTTAGTCATAATTGGCACACCTAATCCTTGCCTGTATAAAAACAAATCAAAATCACAGACATGCAAATTAATTCCTATTCAATATCAGATTTATCTTTAAAATAAAAGTGATTGGGTTTGCAAGTTATAGAACAGTATCACTGCCACTGATAGTAACACCACTGATGATGATTCAGTAATAGTAAGAATAATATCCCCAGCACTGACACTACCGTATACATAAAGCCTTTTCACAAAGGCAAAGACTATAATTTATTAACATTAAATTCAATTTTCATTATATTAAGCTGAAAGTGAATGACAGCAGAAACTAACCCATTTGTATGGTCTCCACATTTTTGAAAAAAGTTGTCACAACCATAACACTCTGCCAGTGGCAGTGCAGTGGAAGCAATGACTCATTTTCCACATTTTACTTCAGTTTGTACCGCTCCAAGTCACAACTTTTCGACTTAACAGAAAACCATGCATAAAACTGATGCACCGAGGGTTTCAGGTGTTTAATAAGACCACAGAGATCTGCGCTAAAATAACACTGGGTACAATAAACACCCCATTTTCATTCAAATAGGTGTGGCTAAATGAACGCGCCGAGCCAGACTAAGTGACCTACTTAAGAAGGTAGAAAAGTGACATTTAACTTACCAAATATCTGATCGTCAGTAAGCTTTGTCTGAAAATAGAGAAAAATTAAGTATAGCGTCACTCTAATAAGAACAAAAGACGCTGAACATTTCTAAAATCTCAATAAATTCCAATACAATGAAGGACCTACCGTTTTAGCCATCTTAACGGAAGTGTATGCTGATCAACTCACAGCTTATTCATGTGCGACAGAAAATAGTGCGAAGTCATACTCTTTAAAATCACTACGCTTAATTCAATGAACAAGACCTTGACATTTACGTGTCACGGCGTTTACTTTGACAAAGTGCGCATATTTTTTTGTTTGAAAAAGAAAATAAATTATCAGAATTAAGCCGTTTGTTTCAAAGAGTCTTTGTTTTTCTGTTATTGAAGCACTCTGACTTTCTTTCGTTCCTCAGTGTTGTCAACATCCGGTTTCACCCGGAAGTAAGTTGTGAATGAATGAATGATGACTGCTGGCGCAGTGTAAGAAAGTAATTTTTGTGCAGAATTTGGGGGCAACCATGGATACTACCAGGGTAAGGTTAGGTGAACTTTAAAGTATAGTCTTGTCATATTTTGAACAAAAATTGTAAGTGATTTTGCACTGTTACAGCTGTATGCTAGTTTGAGATACTGCCAGACAGATGTTTGCAGCATTTAAAAATGAAATGTGGCGTTCCAACTTTTGTTACCTGTAAGAGTAATTTCGCTTTCCTCAGGTTTTGGTCTTATACAGTATGAAGTTAGTAACTAGAATGTTAGGCCAAAAAAACTGAAGCAAGAATAAGGGATGACGGAAACCACAAGATAAATAAATAAATAAATAAATAAATAAATTTTCTTGCTCAGCATTTCTCATTGTTTATACGAGTACCTGGTAACTTATTGTATCTTATTACAGCAAATTATGGTCATGTGTCCTAAAGTGCTCTCGGGCTGCTCATCTTGATCTCAAATTCAGTCAAATTTATTGTGCCATCACTTTCAGGGACAGACACAGACTCTTTTTTTCAATTTCTCGCTGATAAGTGGTATAATAGTCTTAATATACATTTGTATTGGAACATATGTAAAAAGGATTAGTGAAAATGTGGCATTTAATGTTTCAGAATTTTACCAAGGTGACAGTGCGGAATCCAGTGACACATGATCAAGAAGAGACAGGAAAATACACATCATATGAGATACTTCTTGAGGTTGGTAAATTATTGAATACATTTTTTAAAAGTCTCTCTCCTTCCTTTCCTTGCAACACATGGTCTGATATCTATATTAATAATAATAATAATAATAAGATTCTTATATGGCGCCTTACATTCTATCTCAAGGCGCCTTACAATAATGGTTACTAAAAATCAATCTTATTAAAACAAAACAAAACAAAAAAAAAAAAACATATATATATTAAAATAAAATCTAAGAGATATAGACAGAATTAAAAAAGTGGGTCTTTAAAAGAGATTTAAAATTGTCAAAGTCTTCTGTTTTCCTAATAAAATTTGGTAGACCATTCCACACTTTTGGGGCATAGATTATATTGGTGTTGTTAAATATATATTTTTATCAATTCCTGCAGTTGACCATCTGCATCAAAACTACTATAATGCTGAAATTAAAAAAAAAAATAGACCTTGTCAAAGCTGCTGCCTCTTCCCCACTGTCAACCTTTAAATATTAGTGAATGAGGTACATACATGTGTATTTGTAAGTTTGTATCAATGTGTGGGTGCAGGCATGCACATGTGTTTGTGTTTACATATTCATGTATTATTTTGAAACATATTTTTCATTTTAGACTTCCAGTATTGCATTCACCCACCCATCATCAGTAGTAAGAAGGAGATACAGAGAGTTTGACTGGCTGAAAAAACAGCTCAAAATGAATCATCCTTTCCAGTAAGTTGTCCCAGAACTATGCTGCATGAGAAAAAATTATTTGTATTGGATTGATTATGCAGTGTGTATGTAACTAGAACTTCTGAAAAAAAAGTCAGGAGATTGAATTGGTTACAAATGCTCTAAAGCAACACAGATTTTAGTTTACGTGATTAGAGAAGTAAGTTATTTCTTATTTTGTTCCTTTTTTAACCACACGTGAAAATGAGCTTGCATATGTCCAGTTGTACCTACTAATAGTATGCATATGCATCAGCAAATACAAATTAGCCAAGGTAAAAAGTAATTGATTTGTTTAAAATCTTATAATTGTTTTCAGCTCCCCACCTAGTCTTCCTCCTAAGAAATGGGACAAATTTGAACCCCACTGCATAGTTGATAGATGCAGAGGATTAGAACAGTTCCTCAAAGAGTGAGTTATACCATTTACTTGAATTAAAGAAGTGGTTTTAGTTTAGAAGATAAGTAATTTAAATGTCCTGGCTTCCAAAACCATTTTTCCAAACATTTCTTGTGCAAGGTTGAATCAGTACAGAAAAACAAAAAAAGAAAATTAAATTAAATAAAAAGATAAATAAATCATGAGTGACTGGTGAGATGTCATATAACAAGATTTAGAAATTTAACCAGATCATTTCCCTACCCTTATCCATCCTCAATTGCTCCTGTTGGAACCAGTGAATCACAGATCTCCACAACAACAGAAACATCCTCCACCGCCCCATGCGAATTATTACTGAAACCATTGCCTTTACTAGTATACTAGTAATGTGCCCTCATTGTTTTTGTATGATCATGGTCTGTTTTTCCCTTTCCAGGTGTTGTTCCCAGACGGTTTACCTGTCGGACAGTTTATTCCACCTGTTCCTGCAGTCGTCACTGTCCACCAATGAGATGATGCAGGTGGTGTACGGGAAAGGCAACGACAGGAATGTTCTGGAAGAAATTCTACACTCTGGCTGTGCCTTTGACAACTCCCAGTGAGTTTCTTATTTCTCTTATTTGAAGAATGAGATGTCCGTTAATTTTTTGATTTGATATACTGTCTTATATAGTTTTGACTAAAGTTGCTAAGCAGCAGTGAAAACACTATGAGACATACAGAGCAGTGCTAATAAGACATTGAGTAATTTTGGTCAGATTTTCTGATAGAATTAGATACTAGAAAATGTCTTATTGTATCATTCCTTATTTATGCTCTTTGTTCACTGAACATCCTATAAATATAAGTGATTTATGGTGCATGTTTTGTTCGTGTGATGATGTAGGATATTGCAGTGCAGAACCACCTATATGTTGGGTGTCACCATATAGGTGCTGTATATTTGGCCACCAGGCAGTCATATCAGTAAACTTGATGTCTGGAGACTGGACATTCAGTATTCAATTTGTGATCACCACAACAGGTGGTATTCTAAAATGGGGATTTTCATTACTCACTCAAGATGATTATATAATTATTTATCCATAGTGTGTTATTTTCCTACGAAATTGCTATTCTTTATTTCTCAGTTCTGGCAACCCAGGAACATCCAGCTCCATCAACACAGAGTGCGAGGTCATAGTACACAGAGAAGAGGACGCTACGTAATCATGTGACCAGATCACATGATAGTCATGTGATCAGTATCAATGTGCCATTTACGGTTACAAGGGACCAGTATAAGATATGAAGCTTAGATAGGATGAGGCAAACAAGGCACTTACTTCTTCTGAAAAAAATCTCCACATTTTGTTTGCTGATACTGGTCAGTGAAGCATGGTCAAATGATGATGGTCATTTGTGATCCATCCCCCCTGAGTCAATTTAACATTCCAAAGTGTATATTGGTCACAAATGCTAAAATTCCTGCAATTACTTGTTTTTGGAATGAAAGCCAATTTAACATTGTATGATTAATATTATTTCATTGTGCAAAAATATGAATTTCTTCCAAATTTCTTAACTGAACAAATGTTACCTAGTACACACTTAAATTTTATTATTCTTTTTTTTGTCTGTTGCTGATTTTTAAAACTTAATATATTATTGAATTATTCTTCATTTGTTGAATTCATACATTCAACTTTATCTTAAGGTGACTTGTATAAGGTGTCACATTTTACACATATTTTGATTGAGCTTTTATCTTTCTTAATTTTACTCATACTGTTTTAATGTGCAATTTGTTCATGTTGCAATAATACATTTTATCCGTTTATCATAAAATCAAAATAACTTGTGTCGTCTGTGAATTTTTTGTGTTTTGGTTATTTTAATGATTAGTTATTGTATGTAGAGCAAATGTATATACTTGTAAATAAGATGTATTACAATAAAACTATGAAAATCTTTCAAGTAATATTGTTTTGTTTTCACTTTATTATAATTTGAAAATGAAAAAGAATATTTAGATGGATGGCATAGGACACGAGGAAATGAAGCATATACAATGTATTTTTCCGCGTACACGAACTATTTTTAAAAGGCCATAGATAGGTCATAAGCAAAGGTTTCATTACCAGAACGTCTTACAGAACATGAAATATATATATCAGGGCCGTAGCCTGAGCAAAATGCCAGGGGGTGCAGTAAGCGGACACGAGGGGGCGAACCCCTCGAGGGGGGAGGGGGTGTCCCCCTCCCACGGTGTGGAAAATTTTTAAAAACTGTATGTATAATTATGTGCATTTTCTCACAGAATTGATACCAACTTTGCAATTTTTTTTTACCTTTGTGATTATTATTATTATTTTTTTTGCACCTCAAATCCCAGGGGGGCAGCTGCCCCCCCCTGCCTCCCCGGAGGCTACGGCCCTGTATATGCGGAATCGTTGATCTTTGCAAACCAAAGGTAAAAGTTTGGACAATCTCTTCCTAATGCAGTAGAGGGATAGAATGGGCTGTTTGAGTAACTCGAAGATTTATGTTAAATAGTGTGTCAGATAAGACGAGCGATAAGTACGTTCCGCATCATTTATTCGAGGTAAAATATAATTTCAGTTATGAGGGGACGAGTTATACAGAGATTAATGTATGTTAAAAAATGGATTTGTTTCTATTGCCAATTTTATTTTCCACTTGTGATTATAGTATTTTATCTTTTCTTTCGTGTGTGTGTGTGTGTGTGTGCGTGTGTGTGTGTGTGGAGGGGGGGGGGGAGATAGGCAAGGGAACCGAATCTATCATCACTTCAATATTAAACAACTGATGGGTGATAGTGCTAACCTCATAACCGTCCGTATTCCTAACTAAGCTGAAGCTGACCATTCACTGAATACTTTGTCAAGAAAACTCCACGATGGTGGGAATTTTGCCGTTTGTTTCTTAGACACCAAGACCAGAAGGGGGCGGATTGCGTTACCCCAAAGAGGGAACACATTTCTCTCCCTTCACCAGGGCTACAGATTGACGTTTCACAAAATATTCACAGATATATCTCTGGCTAATTCTTACCAAAATTTCATACTGTCCAGAGAGAATTTTTGCATAGAATTAACGTCAACACTGAGCTGGTCCCTAGTATAGAGTAATGTTTACAATGACTTGCGTTATCCTCACTAACACTGCGTAAACTATAGTGTTTGCTGTTCAGATTGGGTGGCGGTGGCTATATATATATATACAGTGACGGCACGGATAGAGGTGTCTGTAAACTCTCGCCAACGTATAGGCCCCTACCATTGAATGCGGAGATAACCCGTAATATCTGACCACCACAGTTAGGAACAAAAGAAAGCAAGAATAGAAGCAGAGGTATGCTGTTATCTGAAAAGTTTTCTCTCTCTCTCTCGCTCTCTCTCTGAAGTAATCTGGAGCTGCAGACTTCTGATGTACAGTATGGTAACCCCATATAAAGATCTCCATTTTGTATCAGAAATCCCTTGATGGGAAAGGATGGGAGCTCCCCAACCCCACTCCCTGCAGCCTGTAGCCACTAACTGTGACTACTTTACTATTTCCAGATGAAGCTGTTTGTTCTCGGCGCCACTGGTGGATGCGGCAAGGAGCTGGTCAAGCAGGCCCTGGAAGCTGGACATCAAGTGACCGCAGTGGTCAGAAACCCGGACAAGGTCAAAATGCGGGACGACAACTTAACGGTAAAAGACAGTCTGTTCTTGTTCTAAGATTGCAATGAAATACAGTGGAATAGATAAGTAAATTTCGTGTTAAAAATCAGTATTTAACAGGTTGGACTTTTCTTAGACTAGGATCCCCTACTAAGACTGCATTCCCACAGATTTAGATCGATCCATCTGGATAGACCTAACTCCCTGGGGGTTCACGCTAAATTGCTGTCAGCTGAGCGCGCACGAAAGTTAATTACCCCTTTATTAATATTATGATATTTTTATGATGGTGACAGGTGCCTAATGATAGTGATTTCTACAACAACAAACTTATATCAGTAATAATATGGATGTTGATCAAACTATAATAGTAAAAACGACGATATTAACTGACTTCTATAGAAAACTAAATCATGCTTTCAGATAATCAAGGGGGACGTCTCAAGCGAGGCCTCACTGGCTGACGGGATGAAGGACCAAGACGCCGTGATTTCGTGCCTCGGCGCCATGCCTACTGAGGACACCAAGGCCAAGTTTACCTTCTTCTCGGACTCCATAAGGGTCATAGTAGGCGCCATGAGAGCGTCTGGGGTGGACAGACTCGTGTGCATTACTGCCTGGTGTACTGTGCGTAAGTTCCCAAAGTTTCAGATATTACTGGTCACTTTATTGTCGGTGATAAGTAAGCCATAGCAAACGTGTAAAAGGTGTATGTATGTACGGTTTGGGGTGATGTGTTCAAAATAACCGATTTTTAGGTAGGAAAAGTCCGCTTTGAATCCAAGGTTGAGTTGGGTTTCATGTCATTTCTCAAGTTTGGCCAGTTAACGGGGTAAAAAAGTCGTTTTTTGCCAGAAGGCCCAATACAATGCTAGAGGCCCAATACAACTCTACGTACTCTGCGTGCTCCAAATCAAAGCCTAGTCTGCGGCTTTTTTTTTTTTTACTTATTTGAATAAAACAAAGGTGCATGGTTTTTAAAATCAACAGCAAAACTGAATCACTGGTAAACCAATAATTTGGTGTCTTTTTATGTCATTCATGCAACTGGTGCACCTTTTCACCGTAGTTTTATTTGGTTTCCCAGGAGTTCCAGAGGCCCCTGAGAGAATCAAATCTTTCTGGTACCCGTCCTACGTGGGCGTTGTCACGGAGGACCAGGGAAGGATGGAGAAGTATCTGGCCGAAGAGGCCAAGGATATCCGCTACACGTGCGTGAGACCCCCAGAACTGAACGAGGAGCCTCTCTCTGGTGAGTGGCTGGACATGAGGGTGTTTTCTTTTTAAATTTCATTTATTTTGTTTGGATGCCATGACGAAATTGTCTTTTGTGCCTGGATTTTTTTTTTGTGAAATCACTGTTATTTATACACTTTTTGACAAAATGTGAGGATATTTCTTAAAGCTGTAATCCTTAACTCGTTTTACTGCAATCGCTTCGCAAAGTAGACTACACGTTTACTGAAACGAAAAGAGCGCTAGTGTAAATACTCCACGTATGATAATTTTTCAAATAATGTCACAATAGCCTTTCATATCAAATAAAAATGTTGTTTCACTCTTTACAAATTTTACAAAATGACTAATCTTCATTATGCCAGGTAAGCCGATCATAGCAAAGGAGGCGTACTGCATAGATCTGAACGAAGGCTTGATTGGGATTCCTAGGGCCAATGTCGCCTGTTTTATGCTGTCCTTGTTAACTACGATCGTGTGGGACTGGAAGGGCGTGGCCATAGCTCTGCAAAAGTGAACCCCGCCGGAGCTTAAGTTTCTGACATTAACATCCGAGAAAAACAGAGGGTCTGTTGCCCAAAACGACTAACAAAACAAAGAAGTAAACCATCGGCCCTAACAAAGACTTCTAAGGCTTATAAACGACTGTTATATTCATTCATTAAACGCTTCATATTTAAGAAGGGCATTAGATCAAATCTGATACAATGATATTTACTTTCAGTTAGCCAATAAACGTGTGCCAAAAACAATTCTTGTCTGGCGCTCGACCGTTGAAAAAAACAAAAAGAAAAAAAAAAAAAAAAAAAGAAAAAGAAAACGCACCAAAACCGATATTGATTAGTCTTATCTTTATTTTTGGGTCTCCAAGTCATTAAGCAGACGTCAAAAAAGAAAAAATAATTATAACAAAATAAATAAAGACACACAGGCCTAATAAGAAACGCAGTAGGACTCCTAACGACCTCTCCGTGATAAAATAAGTCAACACTGATAATCCGACCAATATTCCATCTTTTATTTACTCTTTCAAAGTGTTTTCTAACACGTTAGCCATTATAATCCAAACTTTGATAGGCCTATATTATTTTTACTTAAAATGCTATACCATCACCGGGCATTGTGCAAAATCAACTTTTCCTTAAAAGTAACCTTCTGCCGGTATTCTGCTGAATTTCACACTGCCAGAACACATCAACTTCCTACCAGCAAGACAAACAAATCGAAATAACCTAGACTTATTGTTGAGCTTGAGTCTCGATTTTTAAATTATTATTTATCTATACTTTTCATTATTATTTGAAATATAAACGATACGAACATTATATTGACACAAAGCCACAACCGCACTTCCACCTCTATATCTCAAGCTTTCTAATGATACTTTTGCTTAAAAAAAAGTAATGGCCAGAAAAATGAGGGTGTCCCTAGACCACAGTAAATCATAATTATTACACATTGTTTTCGGTACAATTCTATTTTCTATATTTTTACACTGATGAATCCCTTCTGATCCCCATTTTCTATGTCTGGTTATATTGTTTTTAATTTAATAGTTCAATATTATGACATGATTTAATAAGAGGTATTCAATAATAATATTTATTAATTCCCTCGGTTTGTCCCGTTGCAGCAATATTTTTTGACTGATCTGAAGAATAATATCCCAAAATCCGGCCAAGAAAATTAAAAATTCTAAAGTATATCATGCGGGCGTGGTCTTTTCCTATCTTTCAATTGCCTAGCAGACCTTTAATTAAAAATTACTTCTTCAAGAGTGATGTTTTCAAGAATGTTATTCCCCATGTCCCTTAATTTCTTATGTTATAGGTTTCGAGTAAAGGCATCATATTTGCATCTTTTAGATATTCTACTGTTTAACACATTTTGATAGATTTCACTTCCTTTAGAATTATATTTTGTTTGTTTATCTTGTTACCATAACATAATTGCCGAAAAATATTCTGATTTGTTTAATTTCTTTTTTCTAATGAACGAATCTTACCGCTCTTACTTTCTTGAAATGGGACATTTCTGAGTTTTTACTTTAAGGAGGCACCTCGCAGGTAAACTCAAACACGCTTGATTGGCCCCCGAAGCCGAAAATGGTCAATATATTGGCCCATAATAGGACACTGGGTGTGCAGGCAAAGGTCGTAGGGCCACGTTTTGGCCTCTTTTTGACCTCACCGACGGATAAGACCTCCTGTTTAACATCACTTTCGGTTTCACTTCTCGTTATCCTCGATAGAGACTCCGTTATTCGGGCACCGTGATCTTCTTCAACTGCCTCCGGTGGTTCGTTGACTGCAAGATAAATTGCAACAAACTGATGGTTAGCATAGTGATGTATTGTGAATCCTGCATGGTTAGGAAAATACGGGGAAAACGATTTACTATCAACAGGACGTGAAAATAATTTGCCCCCCCCCCCCC